CAACCTCTTTTGCTATGTCATGAAGAGAAGGATCATCTTATGAGCCTCCATAGCCTGACAAGCATCTCGGCGACGCGTTGTGAATGTCACTTTCATCTGGTACTTCAAGTTTGTACTAGCAACGATAGAAACAGCCTCTTTCAACCTCAGCTCTACGTCGCAATGTAGTAGCCACATCTGCAGTAGTGGTATCAACACTAGTTAACCAAGCCACAACACTGGGAGAAATGACTTGTATGTTTCTCCGGGCAGCCTCCGGTTCTTGCTGCACCTCATTTCTGATTATCTCCAGCTTATCAGATTCTTCATCCAGAGATTTGATGTTTCTATTGTAGTAAATGAGATACCCAACATTATTGATCATGAAATTTGAGCATTTTTCCACAACTTTAGATAGGAAATCCATAGCTATGATCTCCTTTGTTACCAGTTGAGCACCTTTTGTCTACTCTGAACTCTGCTACTTGTTTTATTAGTAACTGGGAAGTATAATCCTTTTTTTTATTGACAAAAAGTCCTTATTAGCTGTTAAATATAATGAAAGATGAACTTAGAATCACAGGCGGATCCAAATTTATAGTTTACAGAATTCTGCAGTGACCTCAAGTTTATATCACAATCAATTATTTTTTTGATATTACTAATACATATACTAGATCTACAGCCAATAGCTTGTAGGCTGACATGAACCGATAGGTTACAATAATGTAGATCCGCCTCTCCTTGTTAATTACCTCCATCACGAGCATGGTATCAGGTGATGTTCCGTGTTCGAGGTTTTACTTGCATTATTTCATTGAGTTTTTCCTACCAGCTTCCTAACTTCTGGCATGACTAGGTTCTGCTTCATCGTCATCACTAGCTTCTTGTTCCTGCAGGGAATAAGAGAATGCAAAAGAAGAGAGAGATGACTAGATTATTAAGTAAAAGAAAAGTTGATGAAGTATCTAAAACGGAAAGAGAGCAGTAGAGCCTAATTAGAATATCATGTAGCAATTACTTATATAGCTAGCGGAATAAGACATACCTTTGTTATTTAACTCCTGCTGTATCCATTTATTGAGATCTAGTATCACCTCATCACCCCATTTGAGAATCGGTGTACTCACAGATATTCCCTGTTGAACAAACGTCTTCATTTCAGGGCAGTCACCAATTTCCACATTTCTTAGAAATGGAAATTCAAGGGCATGGTTTGTCAGAAAGAAATGCCCCAACTTAGGCAGCTTGCAAAGCTCCAGTCTGTCCAAGAGGGGAAATAAGGTCATGATTCCTTCTCCTTGTTGTTCCTCTTTTGTGATCACTTCTTCCATTGATTCACAATTTATTATGTGTAACACTTTGAGATTCAGAAGACCTTTGGCCACTGATGGAGACATCAAGTTTCTCAATTTTCCACAATCTGATACTTTCAATGTTTGAAGTTTGGTGAAGTAGTTAGTTGGAAGTTGGTGAGAGCATAGTGCACTTATGCTTTCAAGTTTCCAGATGTATAGCTCTTCTAGGTTGGGACAAGAAACCTGCGAGCTTTGAAGTATCAAACTTTGTTGCAGATACAGTTGGAGCTATTGAGTGGAGAAGCCAAAAGTGCTTACACACATTTATTTATATATTTTTAAAAACCCCAAATATATATATATATATAAAAATTGTATATGATCTTGTTTCATAATTTAAAAAAGTTTTTTAGTATCTCAAATACATTTGTGTTTTTTTTCCAATCGGGCTGGGTCTAGAGGGGTAAAAAAAGGGTGAGATAATTTTTGAAAGCCACGACATTTTTGAAATTAAAAAATCACTATTATATATTTTTTAATTAAATAAATATAAATTTATTAACGAAAATGATAATTATGCACCATATATTAGACGGTAGAGGTATATATACATCAATTTTATTAACAAGAGGTATATTTGCTCAAAATCGCAAAGTTGAGTAGTATATTGCCCATTTCCCGCTAATTCAATGAATAATTTGAGTTTCACTCATCTGCTAGTAAAATTTATCATAAATGCCCCATTTTTCTGTAAATATAAAAAATAAACGAAAAAGTGGTCTAAAATGCACTTATTGTTACTTAATAAGTCAAAATTGTCATTTTTCAAATAAATATAGTATCATTTTTAAACACATTCTTTCCAAATGATAGTTTTTTATTAGCAAATTGTTAATTTAAAGTTATTTTTTCGCTTGTTAGACAAAAAGGATATATCTAAGCAATAGACTTTGTTTAAGCAAACATCTTTAATTGCTCAAGTAAAAGGTAACATTTGGTGATAATAAGCAAACCTTTTCATCAAAAAGAGGATTTTGACCTCTCTTGTATCCATTTTATTTTAGATCATCTACTTTCACCTAATCATCACATTTTGAGAATCGGTGTACTCACAGATATTCCCAGTTGAACAAACGTCTTCATTCCAGGGCAGCCACAAATAGACAGAATTCTGAGTAATGGAAATTCAAGAGCATGCTCTGTCAGAAAGAAATGCCCCAACTTAGGCAGATTAATAAGATTCAGCTCTTGCAATCGGGGAAATAAGGTCATGATTCCTTCTCCTTGTTGTTCCTCTTTTGTGATCACTTCTTCCATTGATTCACAGTCTTCTATGGATAAGGCTTGCAGATTCAGAAGACCTTTAGCCACTGATGGAGACATCAAGTTTCTCAATTTTCCACAATATCGTACAAACAATCTTTGAAGTTTGGTGAAGTAGTCAGTTGGAAGTTGGTGAGAGCATAGAGCACTTATGCTGTTAGCTCTATCGATAAATAGCTCTTCTAGGTTGGGACAAGAAATCTGCGAACTTTGAAGTATCAAACTTTGTTGCAGATACAGTTGGAGCAATTGAGTGGAGAAGCCAAAAGTGATTACACACATTTATTTATATATTTTTAAAAAGCCATATATATATAAATTGTATATGATCTTGTTTCATATTTAAAAAAGTTTTTTAGAATGTCAAATACGTTAGTATTTTTTTCCATTTGGGCCAGAGTCTAGAGCGGTAAAGATAACTTTGAAAATCACACGACATTTTTTAAATTAAAAAATTACTATTATATACTTTTTAATTAAATAAATATAAAAAATTAACGAAAATGATAAATATGCACCATAAATTAGACGGTAGATGTATATATGCACCAATTTTATTAACAAATAAATTTATTATTTATTTTCTTTTGAACATACACATTCTTTTCCTAATGATATTTTTTTTATTAGCAAATGTTAATCCTACTTCAACTGGAAAAAAATAATACTAAAAACATTTCTTATTTTATTATAAATATCAAAATAAAAATTAATGGTTGATTTACTATGATCTTATATATAAGATATATATTATCAATATAAAGGGTACTATTTTTTTAAATAAGTTTAAAAGTAATTTTTAAAAATAAAGAAAACAATAATAGAGTACTTTAAAAGTAATATCTTTTAATAGGAATAAGATTTGTTCAGAAAGAAAAGAAATACTATATTTATGCGGAAAGAAATATTTTTGACTCAAGTAGTAACAATAGGAACATTTCCAGAACAAACTATCAGCAGCAAGAACATTTTCTTACTAAAGTAGTGAGGGCAAGAACATTTTTGGACTAAACTATAAATTGAGGGCATTTTTTATCATCTTAGGTAAGTAAGAATATGAAACTCAAATAATATGAAAAATTATTATTTATTTTCACACTTAAAAAATGAAATAAGAATATGAAACTCAAATAATGATAAGTTAATATATCTCTAAGGGAGATATTTAAAACTTAAATTAACCGTTGAATAAAAAAAGTCACAAAAATTCACATCAAATATAGCCTTATATGGATTTTTTTAAATAACAAATTTAAAAAAATTAATTTTAATTTTTTTCTTTTTACTAGTTAGACAAAAAGGATATATGTGAGCAATAGACTTTGTTTAAGTAAATATGTTTTAAATGCTCAAGTAAAAGGTAACATTTTTGGTGATAAGAAGCAAACCTTTTCATCAAAAAGAGGATTTGAGTTGTTGGCTGTAGGCATGAAATTCTGGAACTCAGGTAGTTCAATGAAGAGCATTCTTTGTAACTGAGGGAACTCAATGCGCTCAACATTGTCACTGCAAAAGTGAGTCAGGCAATGCATATGATGAATGCACAACTCATATAAATTGGGGAACTTGATTACTTCATGTGTTGTCTTCAATAAATGTGTCACTA